CTGGAGGTTTCTGGGCAGTTCTTTGGTCTGCAGGTTTTCATTCCAACTTACTGAGACTGTGAGAAAAGAGGCTGTTTGTCCATTTGTCCGAGTGTAGGTGACCTACAGACCACAGGTTGTTCTTAGTTCCTGTTGGTTCTCTTATCAGCGAGCACCGATAGCAGATCAAACAAACACTTTGTTCTGCAGCTTCAGCTCATGTTCCACATTTAGAACCTCCCACAGAAGCACAAACAGCATCTGGACACGAGCAGGTCGACCTGAAGGAGCTTCTGGATGATTCAACAGAACCTCTGAAGAGCATCAGTTTAGATCAATGAGCTTCTGTGAATGTCTGCAGCTGAAGAGGAGAAACGAGAAACGCTGGAAACATCAAGTGTCCAGATGCTGTCTGCAGCTGCTGCAGGTCTGAAGTCCAGCAGAACATTTGAATGACAACATGCTGGAGTTTGTCTTCAAACAAAGTCAAGAACCAAAGAACAGCAGCAAGAAAGAGAAGAACACGAGTTCATCACACAGAGGAGACGCTGAGGAGGCTGGAGCTGCTGCAGACATCTGACCTGCACTCATTCATCTCATTCATCTCATTTGTCTCATTTATCTCATTTATCTCATTTATCTCATTCATCTCACAACAGTTGCATCAAAATTCAGAATTTTGAATTTCTGAGGGAAAAAAATCTCATTTTTCTATAAATCAGAGACACTTGAGCTGAATGTAAGGTGAACATGGTACCGTATGAAACGGTTCTGATCAGCCTCTCACGGCGCTCCGGCAGCAAAGAAAACTCTGAAAACTGTCCTCTGTTAACAACGTCGCTCATGTTTTGCTAAATTTGAACTTGTTTTGGCTCCAATAAAATGATTTTTATTGGTTGTGACGTGGAGCTTTATGGAATCAGATGTGATCATGGAGCTCAAAGCCGGGCGTGAACACGACCTCTTTGGTTCTGCTCAAGTTGGTTTTGATTTTATTTTCCTTTGATTCGTAAGAATCTGACTCCACACACGTACAAACAACAGATGTGACCACACAGCAGATCAATATCAAACTCTGACGCCCAAAAGAAGCAAAATCAGAGCAGCGAGTTTGAAACAAAGCAGAGAAAGGAAAGCACACCGACACACTGGCTCACTGCGACTTTTCTTTTTCTGTTTGGACGATGAGCGAAGGAAATAAATCTCCTCTGATCCTGTAGAAACATTCACACTGAGTTACATCTGACCTCACATCTGTCTGGAACACACACAGGTAGTCACATGACAACACGCTGCCTTACTTCCTGTTTGTCCAGGTTCACCGGTTCAGGAGGCGTCTGACCTCAGAACAAACCCGTCCACACACCACGGGTCCAGTCGGTTCTGCTTTAACTCTGGACTACGTCGGTTTAATTTAATGACTTCAGAATTTACTAAAAGCCTCTTTCATGTCAAAGTGAAACAGACTCATACAAACTAAATTAAAAAATTATAAAGATGAACTTATAAAGCTTTGAGCTGCGGCACTTCCTCCTCGCCACAATAAGAGCACGACACTCACCGTACAGAGCTTTGGCACTCGGCTTGGCTTTGTGTTTCTGAGGCTCCGGAGACGACGAGCTGTGGCCGCTGAGACACAAACAGGAAGCACGTCAGTAAACACGCGTCTGATTGGCTCAAACATAAAACCGGTCAGTCTCAGTCTGAGTCAGTGGTAACCATGGCAACGAGGCACACGCTTGACAGGATAAAAATATATGTAATATAGCGGCATTGACCCTCCATCATCATATTTGTTGTGACAAGAATTACCCGGTCACGTGACCAGGGCGTGTCACGTGACCAGGGCGTGTCACGTGACCGGGCCGTCCTGTCAGTTTGCTGTCATCAAGTCGTGTTTCTTCAGCGTTAATTGCTCTCATTAATTATTAATGAAGTCATCGCTCAGAATAAAGTGTGAAAATATCGAGTTTCAGCAGCGAAACTCGAGCAGCCGTCAGTCGGTTTAATTACAGAGACGCAGCAGATACTGCATTAAGTACTGCAGCAGATACTGCAATAAGTACTGCAGCAGATACTGCATTAAGTACTGCAGCAGATACTGCATTAAGTACTGCAGCAGATTGACTTTATACCAGAAGCAGCCCAAACACTATGAATCCAACTGTTTATAAAACGAGCTCCGTTAACTCTGTAGCCTCAAACTGAGTGT